AGCCCCTAGCCTGGCAATGTGCCTACTCCACCGCCTCGCCAGGACGGGGGCTACGCATGGCACAAGGCCTCAACATGGCCATGGTAAGTACAAAGTTTCTTGCTTCTAACGCAAACAACTCAAGTCCATTGTTTACTATTGTTAAACACATTAGTTCACAAACATTACAATAATAATGTTTGTGTGCAGATCATTAATCACGTTCATTGCTTATTATTATTAAACAAATCCCTTGCCAGATATTGTGTGCAGATAACAATACAGGTTCATTGTTTACAATTATGAAACAAGTTGACAGATGTTACAATCATTATGTTTGTGTGCACAAAACTCCTTTTGGATTTTTACGTTGCTCATTTTTCCCTTTTTTGCTGTCTTTCATGACGCTGCCAGTCTGTGATTTCTGAATATTTCTTCGATAAATTTCTATTGTTTCCATCGCTCACGTCACGCTATTTCCTCATACGTAGTACTGCCATACTGATAGCTGTGCCATCATCGGGGATTGCTGTGCCCGTCAATGTGTATGTCTTTGAGTCCATATGTGTGTGCATGTAGAGCCATGCGTGTCTTTAACTCCATGTGTGTGTCTGTCTTTTTCTAACGGACAACGCCCCATGTGTCTGTGTATGTCAAAGTGTTTATGCGTGTGTCAGTCCAAGTGTGCGTGTCAGTCCATTTGTGTGCGTGTAAGTCCATGTGTGTGTGTATGTACATATGTGTGTTTACGTCAATGTGTGTGTGAGTCCACGTATTGTTGTGTGTGAGTCGGTGTGTGTGTGAGTCGCTGTATGTGTGTACATCCATATATGTGTGTGTAACTCCATGTGTGTGTATCTCAAGTGCATGTCTATGTGTGTGTGTGAGTCCATATGTGCGTGTGTGTTAGTCGCTGTGTGTGCATGCCTCCATGTTAGTCAGTGTAACTCCATTTATTTGCGTGTCTGTAGGTCCATGTGTGCATCTTAGTCCATGCGTGTGCTTTATTGACCTGCTCAAGGCCTATGATATCATCGGTAGGCCTGGCTTCTGGGTTGCTCTTCGTGCTTTCCGAGTGCCTGACCCACTGATTACCATCCTTAAGGACCTTCATGATGGTGAGCGGCCCCGCGTCTAACTACGTGGCCGTGAGTCAGAGCCATTTCCTTTACACCTTGGGGTGCAACAGGGATGTCCTCTGGCTCCCACGTTATTTTACATATATTTGGACCACGTAGTTCGTCAAGCCTTCAATGCCTGTACCGGAAGAATTCCCATCTGCTACAGATACAATGGGAGGCTGATCGATGCCCGGGTGCGGTCAAGGGATGGCACCCTATTGCTCAACCACGTTATGTATAGGGGTCGGCACGGTTTGGCTCAAACCACCAAACCGCGGTTTGAACCGAACCAAATCGGTTTGGTTTGGCTCTGTTTAAACTGGTTCGGTTTGGTTTGGGGCTACGAAAACCGACTCGGTTTGGCTCGGACAGGGTGGAACCGGCTCAAACTAGTTTGGTTGGTTGTAAAGGCCGAGTACAGCAATATCAAGGACATGATGACGGACATTCTCAACCAGCGCTACCCAGCGTTGACGACGGACGCGGCGCCGAAGGCGGCGCCGAAGGCGGCGCCGCGTGGCGGCATTAACATCCTCTTTGACATGGTCTACGCGCCCAACGCTCACGACGGCGCCGCCTCCGAGGTCGACCGCTTCCTGCTTGAGCCGACTCAGGACCTGAGCATGGACGTCGTCGAGTGGTGGAAGCTGTACGGCGGCAAGTACCCGCGCCTACGACGCGTGGCCCTCGACTATTTGCCTATCCCGGCGTCGTCCGTGCCCTCCGAGAGAGCAAACTCGGCCGCCAAGCGCTCCTTTCTCGACCGACCAAACCTGCACAAGTGCACGTTCAAGGCCGAGATGTGTGTGCGCTCGTGGGCGCGGATGTTGCCTAGTGTTGGGGTTTCACTGCCATTGAACTACCACACTGCGTTCAAGGACATTGGGCGTGCCAAGCTTGAGGAGATGGCTGTGGACGACATCGTCGTCCAGTACTTGCTAGTGAATCTCAATATGAAGAAAGCCTGCGTAGAAATTAGCGATTAATACACTTGATATTTGTATTGAATGCGAATATTGTTTGCCGCGCATCTTTTCGGTTCAAGCCAACTCAAGAGGTTTGGTTTAGCTTAGTTTGGTTTGGTTTTGGTTTGGTTTGGTTCAGTCGTCGCTGGTTTGGTTTCGTTTGGTTTGCTCAATTTGAAACCAGTTTGAGTCGGTTCAAACCGTGCCGACCCCTAGTTATGTATGCCGATGATCTGCTAATTGCTACTCACTTGGAGGAAGAGTTCGAGGTGCTGCTGCTGAACCTGGAGCTTGCCACCAAGAGGTGGGGGCCTTACCATCAGCCCCACCAAAACAAAGCACCTGCCTGGCTATTTTGTACTATCGGACACTCCACCCCCACAACTCCCAATTGGTGATGGGGCAGTTGTGGAGACAGTGGAGAGTTTCCCATACCTTGCCAGTGTGCTAATGACCGGCTCCGGTTTAACAGCAAAGGTCTCACTTCAAATCAGTCGAGCACCATTATCTTTTCATCGGCTGCGTTACGCTGTGTGAAAGCTACCTGGTCTGTCACTCCATACGAAGCTTCAGGTCTTCTTGGCCACGGTCATTCCCTCCCTTCTCTACGCTTGCGAAACTTGGACCCCCCTAATGGAACATCTTCGCCAGTTAGAAACATTTAGAATGGCCTGCCTACGATCCATCCTGGGTTTAACCAGGCTGCATTGTGTGAGGAGCTCACAAGTCCTTGAAAGATGTGGACAAAGTCCCATCGGTGACCTCCGGCAGGCAAGGCTGCGTTTCCTGAGTCATGTAGCCCACATGGCCTGCCACCGCATGCCTAAACAGCTTTTGTTCGGCCGGATCGAGGGGGCTAAATGGGCGCGGCACGGGCTGGAGAAGACATGGAGTGATGTGCTACAGGAGGACTTGGAGCTGAGTCCACTTGCGGATAACTGGTACCAGCCGTGTCAAGATCGGCCTCTGTGGAGGAGGCTCCTGAAGGACGCTACTGGCCAGTTGGAGGCAGTCACCCTCCAACAACAACGGAGGGCGGAGGAGCGACGCTCACAACAACGAGCGGAGCGCCGGGTGGCTAAAGCACAGAAAGTTGCTACAGTAGGGGCCACAGGTGGTGCATCAGCCAGTCATCTCAGTCAGTCGACCTGTACCATCTATGTTTGCCCCGTGACCTCCTGACAGCAGGCGTTCGACACTTCACGTGGCCTCAAGGTGCACATAGCCTGGCACAAGCGTTGTCGTGACGTCACCGCCACTTAGTGGCGAATGACGGTTGTTGTTGTTCAGTCTATGTATATGTAGGACTTGGAATATGCCGCGCCACACGTTCTGTGGGTCTGTTGCTATGCAAGCGAGCAGTGTACAGTAGGGGGTATTTGAGGACGGGGTTGTTGTTGTCGGGCGTGAGGAGGACGTCGTTAAGATGGGTGACAGGTGTTAGGGGTAACCGAGGACACAGGCCGGTGATTGGCTAAGAGGGTGAGTGCTTAAAGACTGGCGTCGCTCAGGCGGGAATAACAAGGCCACGTGAGGCTGGGTGCCTGGGGGCGAGGGGTAAAGCGTGGGGTGATATAATTAATAGGGACTAATTGATACGGGGATAAAAGGCACAGCGCAAGAGAGAGACGGGAGTCTTGGTTAGAGCTGGAGTCTGGATAGGAGTTGGAGTGATGCTGCCCGGGATAGCGAGGAGCAGGAGTAAGTGGAGAAGATACGATAACGGTAGCAGTGGAGAGAGATAGGACAGAGTACGGTAGTAAGAGAACGTAGAGTGAGTGGTAGCAGTGGTAGCAGTGCATCCGAGAGATACAGAGTAGGGTAGCAGCGGAGTGACGGACTCTGGGAGAGCAGGAGAGAGAACGGAGAGACATAGAGCGCCGTTGATGGCAGATGGCGTGACGGAGCGAATGGGGAGACACGGAGCGGTGATGAGGAGAAGGTGTGGACTTTAAAGAGCAAATAAACGAGAAAGACAACCCGAGTACGAGTCCAACATATATATGTGTGAGTCCATTTGTGCGTGTAACTCTATGTGTGTGTATCAATGGATTTGCGTGTGTAACTACATGTGTGTCTGCCTTTTTCGCCCGGGCAACGAAGGGTACTAACCGCTAGTTATTCAATAAAGAACACGCGTGGTATAGTAGAGTGGGGGGGGGGGGGGGGGCGAGCGAGTATATATGGGAGAGTGAGGCCTGCGTCGGAGCACTTGCTCGGGGACTAATCGATAACCAAGGTGGACGACATCGGGGAAGACTGTTTGTGAACAACTTTGTGGAAACTATCGGCGCTGACTGGTCATGAACAAACCATCGGGACTGCAGAGAGTCGTAGTTATTACGGGTGTGGCGGTTGTTACACTCGGAACTGCAAATACGTTACGATAGAAATGAAGTTTCTACTTCTACAAAATGGACGTCTCCAAGGACCTTCTTTAGTCCTGTATTAATGTAGACTTGAAACTTTCGTGACTGCAGGAATTCATTTTCTTGGTTCCTTCGGTAAAATCACGTAGATAGATAAAACTAAAATAAAAATTAAAAGCAAAAAAACCCACGACGTTTGGATCGCACACTTTGGGGCAGGCTGTGTGTCTTTATCCAATACCTGGGGACCCAATTTATTTAGTCCCACAGTCTCTTCTTGGTTCTATCGGTAAAGTCAGGTAGAAGGGAAATAATAAAAAAAATAATAATTTAACGTAATAAAATACAATTGTATTTTATTATGTTTAATTTTCATTATGTTATTATCAGAGGAGACTGTTGTATTTTTATTATTTTATTATTTCCCTTCTACGTGACTTTACCGAAAGAACCAAGAAGATGAATCCCTGCAGTCACGAAAGCTTTAAATCGAAATCCCACAGTCTCGTTACTGATTGTGAGCATAAAGCTTCCGCACCCCTTCTTCCTCCCTTGCGTGTGTTGAGGACCCCATGCGTGAGGTGTCCCGCATCGCCGATTTCCTGGAGCGGCCACTGTCCGAACAGCAGCTGCATGAGGTGGTGAAGCTCACCTCCTTCCCCGTGATGTGTGACAACCCCATGACGAACTACAGCACCGTGCCCACCGACTTCATGGACCACTCCGTGTCGCCCTTCATGCGCAAGGGTAAAGATCCCAACGTTTTTGGAGGCTCAATCGGGAGACACGGTAACAATGATGAAGGTGGTGGTAGTAGTGATGGGGATGATATTAATACCAGAGGTGTGGAGCAGGAGGCTCGTGAAGGCTGCTACTGGGCAGTTGGAGGAAGTTGCCCTCCAGCAACAACGGAGGTCAGAGGTGTGACGCTCACAACAACGAGCGAGACACCGGACAGCTAAAACACAGCAAGTTGGCACAGTAGGGTGCACAGGTGGTGCATCTGCCAATAATCTCAATCAATCAACCTATGTCACCTGGGTCTGTCCCCTGACCTCCTGCCAGCGGGCATTCAACACTTCGCGTGGACTTAAAGTGCACAAAGCCTTGCACAATTGCTGGTGACCCAACTTAGTGATGAATGGCGGTTTTTGATGGTGACGAAATTGAGACAACCCAATGACGAATTACAGCACCATGCCCCGGCGACACGAGTTAAGTTCCGGCTCACGGCCAACATCGGTGATGATTATCTGAACTGGCCCTGGGCCTCCCCCTAAGTCGACTTAAATGAGTACCTAGTGCGATGCGTAAACATTGGCACTAGGAAGACAAAGGCCGGTCGGGCGTGGTGCTAGCCACCCATGCCCTCGTGTGTCTTTATAGGTGCCTAACAGCACTCACCTCACAGTTTGTTAAGGCTATACGGGGCATTTGTGTCTTTGTTTTGTCTTTGCAGGGGAGGTGGGTGACTGGAGGAATCACTTCTCTGCTGCTCAGCTGGAGGCCTTTGAGCAGCACTACAAAGATAAAATGGCCGCCACTGACCTGCGCCTGAGGGACAGCCTGCCCTGAAGGCCCACATATCTCTCTCTCTGCTCCTGAATGTATCCACTGACTGATTTGGGTTAAAGTTATTATATAATAATACTAATTTCACGTAATATATAGCGTAATTCATGCTGATTGCATCCCACAACGCTGTACAATAATGATGTCCACAATGGCATTTAGAGCTGAATCCAATTTTAAACAATTATTAAGTGAAGGAAAACCTCCAGGTAATAAAAAAGTAGGGTTATCACTCTCTGAGTTACCAAAAAAATCGAGACATATCATAGGGAAAAAGAAGGTAATCTCACAATTCCAGAAGAGGTGAGACATTCACGTAAATATCTTTGATTGAAGGCACAATATAAGTGATATGCAATTGACTCGAAAGTACAGTATCGATTATCCGGCGCGCGATTATCCAGTTTCCAACACTATCTGGCGGTCTGGGGCCAATACGGTGAAACCGGTAAAACTGCTCCAAAGGCTGTCCCAGTCCAGCGATCGTCAAACACATGTATGTTGTTGAAACAAGAGCATAGTTCTACGTACATCTCCCCATGCAGTCTTCGAGATTGGAGTGGTAAGGTACAGTAAATACACTAACTTTTACATGCAAAATAACTAAAATCAGTATGTCATGCAATAATGTGCATAAATTAGCTATTTTATATCATGATGTGATTATCCAGCGTATGGAAAATCCGGCGCCAGCTTCCACCAAAAGCTGCCGAATACTGTAATTGGTGATGTACTGTATGTGACTTTGAACCTCCCCGGGGAAGAGTTACGGATTTCCGTGGGCAGATACCTCAACTAGAAGACGATCCTGGCAAAGTCAGGACAGGTGGCAACTCTAGCTTTAAATTGGACAATCTGAATTTGATCCAATTGGGTTATACTTTTGCATTTTTATATCGATTTGATTTTCTTTGATTTGGTTTGTACCTGGTTTAATCTGAGTAGTCTGAGTTGTCTTTTTTAATCCACTCTTGATTCATCTGGGTATGATCTGAACTTTGTTCATTTGTATCTAGCATGGTTGTATCTGATATATCAGATTGAAATAAATGTGACTTTACTCAACTCAATGGTGCAGGATTCACAGTCGGACTATTCTCACTTTGGTTGGCACGATACACCGATAGCACGAGTTCACTATCTGGTGGTGAAGCGTAGTCATCGCATGGTGATGTAAACTTAAGTCACGAAATCTGACGTCATCGGATAAGAAGCTTTATTTGTCATAATCGGATCAACAGATTGTGACAAATAAATAAATAAAGAGAAATCGCACTAAATCGATAATCGGACCGATTTAAAGTTTAGAGACGAAAAATCGGAAATGCCTATTCCCACCGCGGGGCCGGGGGCGTGCCCACCAGCAAAATTTAATCTCGGCGAACCCCATGGCCCGAACGCCAAATCCCCCACAAGCGAGCGTACGCAGACAGACAGACAGACAAAAAATGAATTATATAGGTTAGACTAGCGGTAAGTACCCGGCGTTGCTCGGGCGAAAAAGGCAGACACACACATATATGGTTAATCCCAGGATGGATCGTTAGCAGGCCAGCCTAAATATTTCTATCCGGCCAAGATGTTCCATTAGGGGGGTGCACGTTTCGCAAGCGTAGAGAAGGGAGGGAATTACCGTGGCCGAGAAGACTTGGAGCTTCATGCGGAGCGAGAGACCAGGTAGCTTCTACACAGCGTAACGCAGCCAATGAAAAGATAATGGCGCTCGACCGATTTGTAGATCTCTGCTGTTAAACCGGAGTCGGTCATGAGCACACTGGCCAGGTATGGGAATCTCTCCAATCTCTCCACAACTGCCGCATCAGCAATTGTGAGTAGTGGGGGTGGATTGTCCGATGGCACAAAATACCCAGGCAGGAGCTTAGTTTTGGTGGGGCTGCTGGTAAGGCCCCACCTCTTAGTGGCAAGCTCCAGGTTCAGCAGCAGTGCCTCCAACTCCTCTGAGTGAGCAGCAATCACCAGAGCACCAGCATATATAACATGGTTAAACAAAATAGGGAGCCATCCCTTGACCGCACCCGGGCATCGATCAGCCTCCCATTGTATCTGTACCATATGGTAATTCGTCCGGTACAGCCATTGAAGGCTTCACGAACTACGTGGTCTACAGATATGTTAAATAATGTGGGAGCCAGAGGACATGCCTGTCACACACCATGGTGTAGAGGGAACGGCTCTAACTGACGGCCACGTAGTTTGACGCGGGGCCGCTGACCATCAAGAAGGTCCTAAAGGATCGTGAGCAAAGGGTGAGGGACTCCGAAAGTATGAAGAACAACCCAGAGGCCAGGCCTAGAAAAAATATCATAGGCCTTGACCAGGTCAATAAAGCACACACATTCACTCACACGCACACCTGGACCTACAGACATGCATAGAAATGGACTTACACTGACTGATATTGAGCCACGCACACAAAGCAACTAACACACACGCCCATGGACTGACACACACAGACATATCAAATTACACACACAAACACATGGACTTACACACACACACATATGGACTCACACACGCATAGATATGCACTTTAGATACACACACATGGAGTTACACACACATATATCTAAGTACACACATACAGCGACTCACACACACACATCGACTCACACACAGACATACGTGGACTCGCACACACATTGACGTAAAACACATATGTACTTACACACATATCGACTAAGACACATACACATGGACTTACACACACATACATAGTCTGACACACACATTGGCCTACACACACATAGACATATGGACTGTGACACACAGACATCTACTTTAGATACACACACATGGATTAACACACACACATCGACTGACACACATAGACACACACACGCACATTGACTTACACACTCAGATGGAGCCATGCACACACATCGACTCACACACACGCATTCACTTAGACACACCCACATCAAGTGAATCACACACGTATGGACTTACACACACATGTGGACTAACACACGCACAGTGACTGATACGCACACAAATGGACTGACACACAAACACTTGTACGTACACACACACACATGGGGCGTTGCCCGTTTGAAAAAGACAGACACACACATGGACTTACACACAGACATGGACCCACACACATAGAAACCCATCGACTTACACGCACACAAACACATATGGACTCACACAGACATCGACTTTAGGGACACACATGTAGTTTCTGCACACGAATATTATAATTGTAATATTTGTAAACTTATTTGTTTAATAATAGTAAACAATAAACCTCAGTTATTAGCGAAAGATGCAATAAAATTGTACTTTACATTGGCGTGGTGACGCCTCGTCCCGTGCAGAGCCTGCGGCCTCGCCTAGATTGGCAAGCTGGAGGAGGTGAGACATTGCCAGGCTGCGGGCTGGGCCGCTACCCCCCCCCCACCATCCCCGGCCCCACCATCCCCCGGCCCCACCATCCCCCCGGCCCCACCATCCCCCCGCCCCCCACCGCCCCCTCCCACTTATTGCTCGACATCGACCGTACCAACTGACGCCAATTACGTGGGGGGGGGCGGACCCTGCCAAGTCATGCGCATTCGCTCCAGCTCACGGGGGACATTTCATTTTACGCGTTTTACAGCCAACACATACACACATCACGCTGCGGATATTTATTCACAGTGTCATGTCCTCTTCGCCCCCCACCCCCCCCCAATACGATGTTCAGTTTATACTACAGACTCCCTAGATTATAATATCTTACTGCTTACATACCATTATTATTGCACGAGCGTGGGATGCTGGGGGGGGGAGGGGTAGCGGCCCAGCCCCTAGCCTGGCAATGTGCCAACTCCGCCGACTCGCCAATGTAGGCCAGGACGGGGGGCTACGCATGGCACAAGGCCTCAACACGCCTATGGTAAGTACAAATTTCCAAGCTTCTTACACTAACAAATCAAGTCCAATGTTTTCTATTATTAAACACATTAGTTGACAAACATTACTACAATAATGTTTGTGTGCAGAAAATAACTCACGTTGATTGCTTACTATTATCAAACAAATACGTTGGGAGATATTACAATAATATTGTTTGTGTGCACAAAACTCTTTATTTTTAGGTTGCTAAATATTCCCTTTTTTTGCTGCGCTTTATCACGCTGCGACGGTCTGACAGTCTGTCATCTGGCCAAGTACGTCCATGTGTATGTGTGTTAGTCCACATGTGTGTGTTAGTCCACATGTGTATGTAAGTCTATACATGTGTGTGTCACTCGATGTGTGTGTGTAAGTCAATGCGTTTGTGTGAGTCCATATGTGTGTGTTCATCCATGTCTGTGTATCTCAAGTAGATGTCTGTGTGTTACATGTGTATATGTGTAGGGCTGTGTGTGTGTCAGTCTATCTATGTGTGTCTAAGTCCATGTGTGTGTGTCTTAGTCCATATGTCTGTGAGTAAGTACATATGTGTGTTTATGTCAATGTGTGTGTGAGTCCACATATGTCTGTGTGTGAGTCGCTGTATGTGTGTACGTCCATATGTGTGTAACTCCATGTGTGTGTGTATCTCAAGTGGATGTCTGTGTGTGTGTCAGTCCATATGTGTGTGTGTCTAAGTCGATGTGTTTGTGTGTGTGAGTCCATATGTGTGTGTGTGTCTGAGTCCATGTGCGTGTGTGTTAGTTGCTGTGTGTGCATGTCTCCATGTTAGTCAGTGTAAGTCCATTTCTTTGCGTGTCTGTAGGTCCATGTATGTGTGTGAGTGAATGTATGTGCTTTATTGACCTGCTCAAGGCCTATGATACCATCAGTAGGCCTGGCCTCTGGGTTGTTTTTCATGCTTTCGGAGACCCTCAAACTTTGCTCACGATCCTTAAGGCCCTTCATGATGGTGAGCGGGCCCGCGTCAAACTACGTGGCCGTCAGTCAGAGCCATTCCCTCTACACCTTGGGGTGTGACAGGGATGTCCTCTGGCTCCACATTATTTAACATATCTTTTGACCACGTAGTTTGTGAAGCCTTCAATGGCTGTACCCGAGGAATTACCATAAGGTACAGATACAATGGGAGGCTGATCGATGCCCGGGTGCGGTCAACGGATGCCTCCCTATTGCTCAACCATGTTATGTATGCCGATACTTTGGTGATTGCTGCTCACTGCTGCTGAAACTGGAGCTTGCCACTAAGAGATGGGGCCTTACCATCAGCCCCACCAAAACTAAGCACCTGCCTGCGTATTTTGTACCATCGAACAATCCACCCCCACAACTCCCAATTGGTGATGCGGTAGTTGTGGAGAGATTGCCGTGATTCCCATACCTGGCCAATGTGCTCATGACCGGCTCCGGTTTAACAGCAGAGGTCTCACTTCAAATCAGTCGAGCGCCATTATCTTTTCATCGGCTGCGTTACGCTTTGTGAAAGCTACCTGGTCTGTCGCTCCCTTCTATACGCTTGCAAAACGTGCATCCCCGTAATGGAACATCTTCGCCGGTTAGAAACATTTAGGCTGGCCTGCTAACAATCCATCCTGGGTTTAACCATATATGTGTGTGTGTGCATCTAAATCGATGTGTTTCTATGTGTGTGGGTCAATGTCTGTGTGTAAGTCCATGTGTGTGTCTGCCTTTTTCACCCGAGCAACGCTGGGTACTATCCGCTAGTAGCCAATAATTTGCGGCGAGTAACGCAGTAGCGGGTTTCTGCCGGGGACAGTACACGGCTACCATAGGCTACCACTCGTTCTACGCCGCCCTTGGACTGTGACACAACGGCCCCAATCCCAGTTTCACTAGCGTCCGTATCCAGAATAAAAGGTCGGTCAAAATCCAGATAGTCCAATGTCGGCGTCGTCGCCAACCGATCGCGTAGGCCCTGAAACGCCGCTTCCTCCGGTGGACCCCAACTGAACCTCCGACCCTTACCCGTAAGGAGGTGCAAGGGCCTAGCGATCA